CAAAACGAAGTAGTCGAGGATCGAGCTCGAGGTGGGGCTCCGACAGGCGGGCGCTGTGGGGGCCATAAGGAGCATACCCAATGTGCGAACAAATCCAGAGCCTTCCAAAACTTCAGGAGCCATATCCCAGCCCTCTGCGCCGCGTCAGCGCGGCGAAAGAGCCAGCGCGCGAGCCAGGCTGCACGCCTCCGACATCGGCTACCAGACGCCCATGCGAGGTCACTTGTCCTGCTGCTGAGCTCACTGGTGATGCTGTTTGTCCTTCTGCATGAGCTCCCCCACTTTCCGATCGAGCTCCTCGACTTTCTTCTGCAGGTTGTCCTGTGCCAGCTGGAGATGCATGAGCATCTGTCCCTGTGCCCGCAGGAGAGCCAGAATATCATCCATCTTCTCGTCCTTGTTGCTCTGTGCGGTGGTCAAGAAATTCGGCATCGTGGTGGTAACGGTGGTCAGCCCGTCCTGCTGCTGCCACTGCTGTGCTCCTGCTGTATCAGCTCCTGCTGTTGCAGCTCCTGATGACGCAGCTCTTGAGCTGTTCCTGCTTTTCCAATTGTTTAGAGCTCCTGCAGCTGTTCCAGTTTCTTGCCGATGGCCGTCACTTTGCCATTGCTCTCCTCTGCCCTCTCTGGCCTTGACCTTGGCCTTCCTCGTCGACCTCCAATACTCCGCTTCATCGTCTTCCCGCTTCTCCTGGGCGTAGCTCGGGTGGAGCTCCACAGTGTTCATGATGGTAGAGCACCATGTGGTCTTGTCCTCATCAGAACCCTGTGGACAAGCAGCATGGAACCAGAGATACGTATTCTTTACATTCTTGATGTGGTCCTGCGAAATCTGGTGCGTCGGGGCTGCCCACTTGTCGCACGGTGCACAATGCCACCAGGGCCCATTAGGTTCTCCACTCGTCTTCGAAACGTACTCCTTAACTTGTAGCCATGGAGCATCAATGCGTCCAGCGTTGTCAGGGTCCATGATGACGGTTTCTGGACATGGGCCAGGATGCCCCCCTGCGCTGGCCCCCATTTCTGACATGGCAGCCTGCAGGCGCTGCAAGAAATGCCTTGAGCCGAGGTGCTTGCGCTACAGGAAAGCTGAGTGTGCTCTACTACTGCAGCGGCTGTCGCAGCGGCTGTCGCAGCGGCTGTTGCAGCGGCTGTTGTAGCGGCTGTTGCAGCGGCTGTTGCAGCGGCTGTTGCAGCGGCTGTTGCAGCGTACTGGCGATTCTGCCACTTCTGCATCGCAGCCTCAGTCGTCCCAGCCAGAGGTGAGGTCGAAACGGGAGATCGTCCTCACGCTCGCCAGTTTCTGGGTTGAGCTCTTCTACTACTGCAGCGGCTGTTGCAGCGGCTGTTGCAGCGGCTGTTGCAGCGGCTGTTGCAGCGGCTGTTGCAGCGTACTGGCGATTCCGTCACTTCTGCATCGCAGCCTCAGTCGTCCCCACCACGCACCACGTCTGGGTAGTGGCCACTGCACGCACAAGACAGCGGAGCTGGGCAGCTTCGCAAATGGCGCTCATAATGTCCTACAGACATATAGGAAGCTGCATGCGCAGTGCCTGACCGCAAGCCCCTGCTGCGACGCGGCCTTGTTGTCAGCACGGGGGAAGTGCGCGATCACATGCTTCTCAACCTCTCCGCATTGTTTGTCGGGGAAGGACGCGACCACTTGCATCTCATCGTAGCTGAGCTTGTGCCCGCGCATGAAGCTTCGGTCGTTTCCTCGCCACCCCCATCCTCCATTCCATCGCCATGAATGGTCGCTCGTCGTGCCGATGTAGACGGAGCGCCCAGAGGCGATGGCACGATCGTGGAGGTGCCGCACGCGCTTCATCACTAGACTAACGTCGATGTCGACGAGTGGCTGGTGTACAAACACCGATTGCATGCCGCGACAATCACTAAGCACCTGTCGAGCGTCCTCCCGGGCGCCTTCCCACATCATCTTAAGCCGCGTCTCTCGGCTGCGCGAGCGCATGCGACGCCTGGCAGGCGCTGTCACTCTTTTGCCGTTGTCGCCGAAACAGGCGACCTTCGCGAACTGAAATGCGCTGCCGCCAACGACCCCTGCAAAGGCCCTCGGGCTCCGAAATCCAGAGGCCTTGTCGCCGCCGTCGCCGCATCCTGCTCGGCCCTCGACAGCGTCGGTAGGCGGTCCCCCGCGTGAAAGGTCGAGCCCCAGGCGATCTGTGATGAACGAAAATGCGTCATTGTTCCCATTGCCCATGCCATCGGCGCTGATGGTGTCATTGGCCATGACCTTGACCTTGACGTTCACGCCGCAAGGCCCTCGAGCTGCTCCGCCGTCTCCGACGCTCCCTGGAGGAAGCGACGATGCTGATGCTGGATGCACCTGTGCTGGAGAGGGCGATGCTGTCTGGATCTCGCAGGCCCTGATCTCTGGAGGCGATGCCGACGGCTCTTGCAAGCCCTTGTCCCTGGAGGAAGCGATGCTGTCTGGATCTCGCGCTGCTCTGTGGGTGCCGCCAGCGGCGCCCACGCCCGCTGCAAAACCTCCCTGGCTGGCTTGTTGCGGACTCGCAGCGGCGGCGGCCACGGTCCGAACGTCCACGGCAACTCTGGCTTCAACATAGAGCGTCATACCTTCAGTGGCCTCGTCATCCGAGCCGCCGAACATGTCTCGCAGAAGGCAGGCAGACACCGACTGCGAGTCCGCGCTGGGAGACCCCTGGGATGAGGTGCTGAATAAAGGATCCCCCATGGTTCTTGCCCCAGCCATGGGGGACTAGCTTGGGCCAATATGCCAAGATGATGTAAGGGTGCGAATCCTGTCGCGGATCTGCTGGGGTGCTCGGGGCTCTGTGGGGTCCTGGGTGTGGTGCCCCAAGGCCCTAGGGCCCTCTCTGGTGGCCTCTTCCTCCTCGCTTGCTGCGCCCAGCTGGTGGCGAGGGAGGTACTGGGCACTAGAAAGCCGAAGGCTAGAGGCTAGAACAATTCGAACCAGGCAGCCCAAGCATCCAAGCGCCTAGCGGCCTGGAGAGTGAGACAATTTGCATACTAAGGAATGCAGTTGATCTGAATATGGGCTTCATTCTCCTCATCTCTGAGCTCAGGGATGCATGGGGGCGCCTGCGCTCGCTGTTCCAGCCGTGCGCAGCACATGCGCAGAGTCCTATCGTGGGCCCATTCCCACTCGCGCCAGTAACAGATGCTCTCGCGGGCACCTTAGCTCAGAGCGTGATGCGCTCCCCCCTCCTCCCACCTGGACTCCTCCTCCTGCTCCTCCCCCTAGCCTCGTCCTCCTCGTCATCGTCATCCTGGTTCCCCCGCGTGGGCCTGCGGGGGCGCCGCGGCCGCCCGCGGCAGCGCCGCCCGCCACCAGGGACCTGGGGGGTGGGGGGGCGCAGGAGCTGTTGCAGCGGAGGCACAGCATACGGCGAGAAGAGACGAGTCGGAGAAGCTCGCCGTTTTGTTGTCACGCTTCTCTGCATAACTTCAGGTCACCCGCGCCGAAGGGTATCTGACAGACAGTCACCACCCGACGCGACTGGAAGCACTTCGCCGACTGGGTCAGGCGCTCGAGAACTTGCGGTGTTCAGTCATGCTAGCCGCCCACAACCCCACTCGAAATGTGTGCGGCTGTTGCAGCGGAGCGCTGGCCACAAAGACTCTGCCGATTCCGCACAACCGTCCCCGTCCCAGCCCCTTCCCATTCCCCTCACCACTGCCATCCCCCTGAGTAAGTCAACTGGCAACCTGAGGCCAGCGAGCTGGATGCCAGGGTCCCTGAACGAGTGGCACGCTCCTAAGATGAGACGCACGAGAGGACAATACCACACACAATACATGTACTTCGTGTTGATATGTGTGCTAATCATATACAAACACACACACACACTCAGTCGTGCAGCCAAGCCGGCTCAGCATCAAGGAAAACCGCAAGACAAACCCAGTCCGCACAGCGTCAAAGCGTATGCGGGCGGCCGCACAGGCGTGCCACTGTTACAGTATAAGGCAAACTTCAGGTCACCCGCGCCGAAGGGTATCTGACAGACAGTCACCACCCGACGCGACTGGAAGCACTTCGCCGACTGGGTCAGGCGCTCGAGAACTTGCGGTGTTCAGTCATGCTAGCCGCCCACAACCCCACTCGAAATGTGTGCGGCTGTTGCAGCGGAGCGCTGGCCACAAAGACTCTGCCGATTCCGCACAACCGTCCCCATCCCAGCCCCTTCCCATTCCCCTCACCACTGCCATCCCCCTGAGTAAGTCAACTGGCAACCTGAGGCCAGCGAGCTGGATGCCAGGGTCCCTGAACGAGTGGCACGCTCCTAAGATGAGACGCACGAGAGGACAATACCACACACAATACATGTACTTCGTGTTGATATGTGTGCTAATCATATACAAACACACACACACACACCTCAGTCGTGCAGCCAAGCCGGCTCAGCATCAAGGAAAACCGCAAGACAAACCCAGTCCGCACAGCGTCAAAGCGTATGCGGGCGGCCGCACAGGCGTGCCACTGTTACAGTATAAGGCAAACTTCAGGTCACCCGCGCCGAAGGGTATCTGACAGACAGTCACCACCCGACGCGACTGGAAGCACTTCGCCGACTGGGTCAGGCGCTCGAGAACTTGCGGTGTTCAGTCATGCTAGCCGCCCACAACCCCACTCGAAATGTGTGCGAGGGTGCCGCGTACTCGAATTGTGTGCGTATCTGTTGCATAGCGGAAGGCAGGGCTCATCCGAGAGGCGCATCTGTGCAGGTCGGCCAAAACTGGCGCTGACAGAAGCAATGCCTAAACCAGAACTGGCGTGTCGCAGTCGACTGTTGCAGTCTACCAGAAGCGCGCTCGGAGAGGCCCCGCGATTTACTGTGACAGTCTGTGCAAGCTGTCAGCTGCTCCCAGACGCGGGCTGGTCCCACCGAGGCTCACAGAGTTGCTTTGCCTCGTCAGGGTTCGTGTAATAAATGGGCGCGACTCTGTCGTACACCGTTTTTGGGTGCGGGCGACTGTAGTAGTTGCCATGGTACTGACCTGCACGTCCACGAGGATCCCGAAGATGTGCTCCCTGAAACAATAGCCATTGATGTTCTGCCTGATGCAGCCGATCCAGTACTTGTACTCGCGCCTGTGGAAGTCCCATTCTGCCTTGATCACAATGTGCGCGTAGTATTGGTGCTGCGGTTGCACCAGGCAGAAGACGATGTCTCCTTTCTGCACGGTGGACGCCTCCTTCACGACGCAGCCAGGGCCTGCTTCCGCTATTACAGCTTGGATGGGGTGAAAGGTGCAGAAGCCGTGCGACCGCACCAGAGGCCACATGGAGCTTCCCGAGCTCGGGTACCACACGGGGAAGCCGCCTAGGAGGTACTCATGTACCATCTTGTTCCTCTCTGCCCGCAGCTTTAATTCCAGAACGAACTTGTCGGGGTCCGACCATGTACCCTCGACCAGCGTCCAGCCCTTGTGGAACACGGGAATGGCCTCGTGCGGGGGCGACAAAACAAAGGGTGGAAGGCGCTTCGGCTTGCTCCGCTCGACGACTGCGGCCTCCTCGGGGGGCAACTTGGCGATGGACTTGTAACATTTGGACTGCTCCGCCGTCTGACCGACCTTTGCACGTAGTGGGACGGCTGACATGGCTCTTGCAGCTCTGCGGGCATTCGTCGTCTGTTCCGCCTGCCGCTTAAGAAGTTTCCCGCGCTCGATAGGCTCCTCGCTGTGCTTCATGGTGGCAGAAACCGTCGTCGCCCGTGTGGCTGACCCACGTGGAGCCTGGGATAAGAGCTGGCGCCGCCCAGCAGCCTCCATGTGGTCCTGCCGCGCTCGCTCTGGATCGGGCTTGTAGTGGTCCGCCTCTTGTCGCAGCTGCTCTCTCGTCATCGGCGGCGGCGGCGGCACGACCCTGCCCGATAAATCGATTGGCCGTGGCGGGCGGGAGGGCATCCGTTTCGGAAGAGGCTGGCCCCCCGCGGGCGTGCCACTGACCCTCTTCGCTGGCGCGTGCTTGGCCCACGGAGTCTTCTGTCTCCAATCACCCTCCTCCTGCCGAAGCGTAGATGTGAGAGGAGCACCCATCCCGCGCCGTGCATGGCTTTCTGGCCGTGTCCGTGCCGTGGCAGGAGCATCCCGCGCCGTGCTGCGGGTGCGCTCTCTGCCTCTGCGGGTGCGGTCACCAGCCTCTTCTCGGGGGGAGTCGCTGTCGGAGATCACAATCGTGTGGTGCGGATCACCCGACTGCTCGGCCTGGGCCCGCGTTCTGTCGGCCTCCGACGGACGCTCCGTCAGCCTGAGCCCGCTCCTCGCCGCCATCGGCGGGCCACTAGCGCCTGCGCCCTCACGAGCTGTTGCTGCCTCTCGCCGCCCGCTCGATGACGCTGTTGCAGCCAACTGGCGTTGGCGCGGCGACGCCTCTCTCTGGCGACTCTGGGCGTTTGACAGGCGCCGCTGCTGCCTCACCCACCGCTGCAGATCCCAGTGGTACCGTACAGAGTCTTCGATCCCAGTCGCCCCTTGCGGGTTCCGACGCTCCCAGTCTATCATCTGAGTGTTCCACCTGATCTCCTCATCGCTCAACTGCCTGCGCGCGGTCGCGTCCAGGCATCCGTAGGATCTCTCCTGGCCCTCCCAGACTCCTGGACGGCCGAAGATCATCATGCCGTCATTGTCCAACTGCTGCTGCTTATGTTGGACCCAGCGCAGGCGGCGCTCATGATCCAACGCCTCATCGTGTTCGCCCTCCTGACGCGCCAACTGGATATTCAACTCGCCCGCTCCCTCTGGCTCCGCAAGCCTTTGCGCTGGTTGAGCAAGTACCCCCGGGTGCCGACCTGAAGATGGGAGCTCTACTAACATGGTATGTCAGAGCTCCCTGGGAGCTCTAACATCCCCTAGCATGCCATGTTAGATCTCCATGGGAGCTCTAACATGGTATGTTAGAGCTCCAATGGAGCTCTAACACCCTCTAACATGCCATGTTAGAGCTCCCAGGGAGCTCTAACATGGCATGTTAAAGCTCCCTGTGAGCTCTAACATCATGTCGCATGCCATGTTAGAGCTCCAGGTGAGCTCGAACATGGCATGTTAGAGCTCCAATGTAGCTCTAACATCCACAACCTGCCATGTTAGAGCCCCATGGGAGCTCAAGCATGGTATGTTCGAGCTCCATGGGACCTCTTATCAGACAGGGGGGGGGGGGGGTACTACAGCTAGCCCAGATTTGGCTGGTCTGACCTGGCGTCCTTTGCCCTTGCCCTTGCGCCCCATCTCTGGCATGGCAGCCTGCAGGCGCTGCAAGAAATGCCTTGAGCCGAGGTGCTTGCGCTACAGGAAAGTTGGGTGTGCTCTACTACTGCAGCGGCTGTCGCAGCGGCTGTCGCAGCGGCTGTTGCAGCGGCTGTTGCAGCGGCTGTTGCAGCGGCTGTTGCAGCGGCTGTTGCAGCGGCTGTTGCAGCGGCTGTTGCAGCGGCTGTTGCAGCGGCTGTTGCAGCGGCTGTTGCAGCGGCTGTTGCAGCGGCTGTTGCAGCGGCTGTTGCAGCGGCTGTTGCAGCGGCTGTTGCAGCGGCTGTTGCAGCGGCTGTTGCAGCGGCTGTTGCAGCGGCTGTTGCAGCGGATGTTGCAGCGGAGACGGCCTCGTCGCTGCTCCTGCCTCGTCCTGCTCCCCCCTCCTCCTTCAGCCCCATCACCCCCCTCATCCCCCTCCTCCTGAGGGCGGCCCTGGGCGCCCGATGCTTCCCACCCCCACCCTCCCACCCTCGCCGCCGACAACCGCCGCCACGGGCAACAGCAGCCCCCCCCCCCCCATCGGCGACCTTCAGGTCCCCAGCGGCGGGCAGCGCCGCCCGCGGCAGCGGCGCCCACTGAGGGGCGCAGGGGGGGAGGTAAGGTCGGACGACGTTGGGCGGCGCTCTTTTTCAACAAACTATGGCACGGCCTTGGTGCCTGGGCACAGTGCTGCGACCGTCGCGTCGAAACGCAGAACCCAGTTCCTCGGGCTGTTGTAGAGCTGTTTGACGGCTCTGTCGACGCCCGCTTCTTCTCCCGAGCGGCACAGCACGCAAGTTCGCTGCGCCAGGCGGGGATTGGCCTGCCTCTTGAAGAACTTGCAGAGCTTCCTGGGGCTCTTGTAATAGATCACACACCCACTCGGCGTCTGGGCAAGCGCTCGCAAAACGCGGGGCAGTGTAGGCAGGTCTTCCGCGAGAGCCTCTGTTACAGCCACGTGGTAGCTCTTGCTCGAGTTCCGAAGCTTCTCCGTGTACTGGATGCCTTTTGGAGAATCCTCCCGTGCAAAGTCAGTCGGCGTTGTGAAAAAAAGCTCCCGTGAACGCTGCTACGATCTGGGCGGCGATGCAATAGTCGGTGTCAGCTGTTGGCGCCAAGACTACGTTCCCCTTCTTCTTCCCCTGGGCCGCATGACTGGCAAGATAGTCCAGGAACTCCACGGGGTCCTGAAACACCTTGAAACGCAAGCGCTGCGCCTTGTTGCGAGCGCCCCCATCTACCATGCGAGCCAGCATGAGCCCAGCGGGGCGCGGGGGGGGCAGCAAGTAAGCGTCACGGCCCGCAGCTGGCCTGGCACTGCGCAGGACTTTCTTCTCTCGGGTACTCCTGGCCTTGGCGGCGGCCTTCGCCCCTCCAAGATTGCGCTCTCGGATCTTGGCCTCCCGCTTGGCGACGGCGGCGACGACTTTTGCAGCGGGCCCGACTGGATCTGCGCCGCTCGCCTGGGCCGCCTCCTGAGCCAGCGCAGCGAGATCGGGGGCGCCCTCCGCGAGAAGGCGGGCGCGCTTGCTCGGGGAAGCGGCCACCATGGCGTCGACGGCAGCTGCTCGCCTGCGCCCGAAGCCTACCTCTGTCCGACGTGCTGCCCCAGGCTCCCGCGTGCTTCCCTTGTCGCGCCTCTCGGCCCTCCTCAGCGGCACGATCTTCCCCTGCGCGACCTCATGTAGCTTGAGCACATGCCTGTACCAACGACTGGCGGCAGAGCTCTCGTTGTCGTCCAGCCACGCGCGCAGCAACCTGCTGGAGGGCGCCTGGTCCACGAGCGTGCACTCCTCGACGGACACGTCGAGGAGCCGCGCCCTCTCGGGGCAATGCACCTCCGAGAAACGGCGGAATCGCCTCTCCAAGTTGCCCGTGCTCGTCTTCCATACAAGGCAGAGCTCCACGAGGCGACGGCCGCTGGGGAGCTCGGGCCACTCCACCGCAGCGCGGCCCCAAGCCTGCCGCGTGGTGCCCCCGTTTCGATGATGCACCTCGGCAGGGGGCAACATGTGCCGCAGCTGGGAGATTGCCTTCTGCTCGGGGAGGTCTGCCGCCTGGCAGGTGCGCTTCAAACAGGCCTCGGCTTCTGTTGCATGCTCTGCCGTTGCAGACAGGGACAGGGGGGAAGGCAAGCGAAAGGCTGTAAAGGCGTGCAACCAAGAATGCTCTGGCCGATATAGCTTCATGTTCTCCTTCACATTGGCCACGATCCCCTGCGCTCGTCGAAGAGCCGCGTGGACGGCTTCGCGGGCTCGGGGCTCCGTGCTCCAATCGCCGATGCCAGCGGTCTGGACGCCAGTGCCGCACACGAGCCGCTTCGTGGCCTTCAGAAACTTGAGGGCGACGCCAGTAAACGTGTCGGGGATGGCCAGAATATTCCCCTGGACGAACAATGTATCCAGCTTGGAGAGGAAAGCGGCGGCCCTGGATTGAACGCTGGCAGCGTCGGGGTTGCTCTTGTCTCCGGCGGCGACCCAGGAATAGTGCTCCGCGCTCAAGTCGGCCAGCAATCCCCCCAGGAGCAGGCGCGAACTGTTCTCGCCCCCGAGCCCTTCCAGAATATGTCGGGCGAGAATGCGCCGATCTTTGTCATTCCCCTGGGACTCCGCTCCGAGCGCCTCGAAAATGACTTCCCAACGCCGACTTTCCCGTGCGCAGGGCCTCGCCCGACTGTTGAAACGCTGGGGGGCCCAGCCGAAGTTTTTGACGAACGCAGCGCCGTCTTCCACCAGCTGCTGCTCCCCGAGTGTGTTGCGGAACACGGTGGAGGTAGTCAGGAACTTGGCCAGACTTGGCGGCTTCTTACCCGTTACCAGCAGCTCGTCCGTGGTCGTTATTTCGCTGTCTCCTTTCATCGAATTGGCCAGAACCTTCTGGGGCGAGTGAGACTCGCCCCACGCGTGAAACGCCAGCCCAGGGAACGTAGCTGTTGCAGCCAGGGGTACACTTAGATCCGCCCCATCGCTGCACCATGCCCGAGTCTCCTGTCGCACATGCTTGTGCAAGTCCCCGTCCAGCTCCCCGCCTGCCGTCTGGCACGCGCGACGGACGCACTCCTCCAGCATGGAAGCCTTGCCGTCGCAGTCCATGCCCCGCGGGAACTCCCGCATCCCGATCACCCGATCCACGATCCAGGGCCCTCTGGGGCCCAGCTGTTCCAGCCAGCCTGCCTTGAGACCGTAGCTTGGGAGGAAGTCCAAAGCCTTCGGGGTCGACCACAGCGCGGTGCCAATTTCGACCTGGCACGCGCGGTCGAGGCCGTCCGCAGCCAAACGAAAAACAGCACCATGTCTGAGGATCCTCTGCGTGATGGTCTTCTCGTGCTGAGCCATGGTGGTCACCAGCCTTCGGCACTGCCGACTAGACTCCAAAACTTGGCGGTCGCCCCCAACGAACGCATCCCGCCACACGTCGAAACTACTGAAGGAACTGGTTGTCTCCAACATTGCACGGGTGGCGGCCACTGCGCGGCAACCAGGGCGCTGGTCGGCGTTGCGGACGACGGCGGGCGCAGGCGCCACGGCTGTTGCAGCTGCTGCAGCTGATGCAGCCGTTGTGGAGAACACAGACACGGGGAGACCCTGGTGCGC